TTGACATCTGAAAATGAATATTTATGTCCCCATTTTAAAATAAGACAGTAGTCTCTCTATCTTTAAACGTTCAACAGGAAATAAACAATTATTTAAACATTACATCATAAATATTCTATTGTGTGATTATCAAATAGGAATTCAAAATTTTATTTTCCTTGTTTGAAGTGTGCAGGAAAAACAAAACTTGGATCATCCTCCCTATTTATGTGTAGAGAGTACTTCTGCATAAACAGCTGAGGGAAGACTATTTTATGCCCCCTGGAAAGGCATTTCACAGAGATCTTCAGTCTTTGTAGGTATCTTATGAATAATAGTTAGGCGGCTGGTAGAAGGATTCACCTATATAAACAGGAGCAGCCATACACTACTTTCAAGGCAACCCACTTGAGAATGGGTTGTTAAGGATTGGCAAACACGTGATAAATGGGATTCTTGAATCACTCAGTGACAGGTGTTCAATAATGTTATGTTAATTAAATGTTACTTTAAAACTGAGATTAAGCAGATTTGAAGATTTCTGAAATGTTCTTTTTTACTTTGTCTAAACTCCTATGCTATGGATACTTATCAACTTACAACCATTCATTTATTAACTATTTGAAGTTACAGTGGCACTGAAAAAAAGTGATTTAAGACCCCTTTTCACACTTAACTACCATTGTAGCATCCCCATGGTCACATGATCATTAATTGGACACTTGGCAACTGGCATATATTGACACTTGCAGTGTTCCGTCTGAAAAGCAAAGTCAGTGGTAGGGAAGCCAAATCCACTAAAAACCATGTTGCTAACTTAACAACTGCAGTGATTCTTTTAACAATTGTGGCGAGAAAAGTCATAAAATGGGGCAAAATTCACAACATGTTGCTTATGAGTGGAAGTTTTGAGCTCAATTTTGGTCATAAATTGAGAGAAACTGTATTTAGTAAGATTTCTATTGAGACAATTAAAACAAAATACACACTTCAGTTTTGGCCTACTCCTTAATTTCAGAACTTGTGTTTAGGTAGTGTTGCTACATGTTCCTATAATGAAGAACAACTTAGGATCTGGTAGATCAGCGGTTCTCAACCTGTGGATTGCGACCCCTTTGGGGGTCGAATGACCCTTTCACAGAGGTCGCCTAAGACCATCGGAAAACACACATTTTCGATGGTCTTAGGAACCGAAATGCCACTCTATGGTTGGGGGTCACCACAACATGAGGAACTGTATTAAAGGGTCGCAGCATTGGGAAGGTTGAGAACCACTGTTGTAGATAGTTTTATTAAATTGTTACAATTAAATTTAGTGTAATTTAGATTGCACTAAAATGTGAAATTCTGGCTTATGTTGCATTCTTTGGGGAATATACTTTGGATATAAGAGAAATAGTTCAGGCAATGCATGACCACACATTACAAGAAATGAACTACAGTCAAATGATGCCAGAAATATTTTAAGAATTAAATCCAGTGGTGTTTGCTGGGGAAATTAATCCCCTCTCCAAATCTTCTGTGGAAGATTACAGGATGGATCATCTAAAACAAATATAGACATGCACATTGAGTGCAACTAGAGGAGGGGAAGGAGAAGAACCAAAATATTTTGTTTGAAAACTATTCATTTGATTTGCCCCTACCAAAGTTAACTTATATAAGTTTTATATAAACTTATATTAAAAAAATTCTTTTGTACCCTTTTGTGCAAAAGTTATTTTGTAACTTTTCAGAGTTACGCAATCACAAAAAATATATATAGTGCTGTCCAAATAGAATGTATTTCCCATAGAACAGCTATGTCTAACTTTACTTTGATTTATGTTTTAATGCAATTCTTGTAAACCAAACAACTGTCTCCACCCCAAACTACATTTTTGTTCAACCAATATACAGTGGTATCTCACTACTCATCCTTAATTGGTTCCGGGAGTTGCGATGAGCACAAAAAATAAGTACCAAACAAATTTTTCTCATAAGGAATAATGTAGTGAGTCATAAGGCAGCTGAGACTGTCAAATTCTAGCTCATGCATTGAATACCAAAGAAACAATGAGTACCAGGAGAAAATTTTCAGGTCAAAATGCTTTGAGTATTAAATTCGATGAGTTTCAAAGCAATTTAGTACCAAGGTACCTGTACTACCATATGATTCTAATTTTTTTTAATTTTCTAGAGGTTTTATGCAGCACTAATGTATCTTGACTATATTATTGTGTACCTCTACTGAGGTTTAACCAATTGAGAATGCACAGTAAATCTGAAATGCTAACAAATAATACATAACATAATGTAAAGTAATATAGTGCCCTATTGTAAAATACAGCACTAGAGAACATAAAATGCAGCGAAAGCAAATGTTGAGATTAAGATATGGCACTGAGGACCCGAGAAATCTAGGTCAAATTCTTACTTTACCAGGGAGAGCTCACTGGATAACTCTGAGCAGTTACTATCCCCTATGTTTCCTCTTGAAGCTCCTAAAGGAAAAACATAAAAGTGTATTACTAAAATTAATACAAGTATATACTACTAAAAGCTTCCCATTTATGAAGACATTGGAATAGTCTCTGGTGATTTAATCTCAGCAGAGTGATTTTTCAGGGAAGGCATACTGCCAAACTGACCTTGAAAATGCCTTACATTACAATAATGTTGTCTTATTTTAAACTAAATATTTACATCTATGCCTAATGTCTCAAGAGATGGCAGCACATGTCCGAACTTGTTTACCCCCTAAAGCTACTTCCACGTCGGGCTCAAAATAAGTATTTGAATAGGAGACTTTTGAGGAAGCACGGTTATAATTTAGATCAGGATTTTAAAAAATGGGAGTGGTGGTAAAATACTTGAAGAAGATAGCAGCAAACCATCTATCCAAGTTTGTTGCCAAGAAAACTTGTTGGATATTTCTGTGAAGAAATCAGGAGCCTGCCGTTTTGCTTTTTAAAAGCTGAACACATCACCAAGCTTTTCCTAATTTTGTCTGCCCAATACAATAGAACAGTAGCATCAACTATTTTTAAATTAGGTTTTCTTTTTTAAACAAGGTAATTCTATATTTAGAAATCATCTCATAATTAAAATGATAAAATCAGTCTGTATCATTCTTACAGGAGTAGAGTTTTCAGATGAGAAATTAACCTAGATTTGATTATATTTGATTATATTACGTATTAAATATGTCATGAACTAGATTATGAAAATCTTGATATAAGTCTTGTGAGTTTAAAGTTCTTGGCAAGTTTTTTTAAACTTTTTATTTATATGAACTAATTGGGGACCTAATCTTGCCAAATACAATAATAAAGCTATTCATCCATGCAAATACAGATTCAATATTTTGGTATCAAAACCATAATCATTATTTTATATCTTTATTCCTCTTTGTTCTCTTACATAAAATGGGATTGCCATATAGCTCTTTGATTAGCTCTTATGTTTGGGTGAATATATAGTGCCAGCAAAGCATATATTTTGGAGAGGCTGCTCATATATTTATGTTTTTAACATATACTCTCTCTTCCAACAAAATGTATAACATAATATTTTCTTAATGTTCATAGTGTTAGTGTGTCAAAGCGTTACTGTTTATTGTGTATTGGGCATATTTTAAAATTTAACAAATAGCCCAAGTATTCCTTTTTTTAAGGTGTCTGGTCAGAATTAGTGACACTATTTTCCCCTCAGTTTCAGGTTTTCAGTGTTGAGTGTCTATCATTCTTTTGTTCAATTTACTTTGTGGCTCACAGTGCATAGATAGCTGTTGCCTCCTGGATAAATTGTTTCAGTGGCGACTTTTCACATTTTTTGCACACATGTAAATTATCTAAATGTGACACAATAAAGATTTGACAAATAGTACAATTTTTAGCATCTGTACAAATTGCAAGGATATTGAAGGAGTAAAGGGAGATAATAGTAAATTTTCTGTAGTGAAGCAAATTGGTAACAATAGATTAATAATCCGTTAGTTTTGGCAAGTTGCTGTCATTAGTGCCAAAAAAAATACCTTAATGCTATATTTTGAGTTCATATAATTAGCCACTATATTTTAAAAAAATAAACTGAAATAAGTTGTGAATAATGAGTTAAATTCACCTGAAGAGAAATTAAAACAGAAGGACTGGAAGCACAATATGCAAAGTAATAATATAGTTTGAATTATCAAATTCTTGTGTTTTGGTTTAATGCTTTCTGTTTGTAGAAAAAGAGTGACTGCTATTTTAAAATAAACTATAAATAAAATATTTTGCTATATTTACTGTCTTTAGTTTGTGAGAGTAGAGATGGAAATTTTGCTTTTCTTCTCTCACAAACATTTATCTTCAAAATGAATTTCAAGAATTACTATCTTTTATTAGACCACATTTTTCTTATCATTTTATAATAGGATTGTGTAAAATTTTCTGGTGAAAAAGAGACATATACAGTGCAGCTTTATCAGGTTATTCATATCTATTTAAGAATTTAAGCAGAATAGCCCTAACTATCCTTCCAGAAACAGATAACAGTTATGTTACCTCAGCTTTCTAATTTTCCCCCAAAGGAAAAAATACCTTTTCGATATAAACTTTGGTATATAACGTACCAAAGAGCAGCCAAAGTTATGAAAGCAACATGTAATTTTTGTGTGAGTGAAAACACCTTGGATGATTTATATGAAGCACAAACCTGAGCAAATAATGTAGTAAATTCAGGTGTTACCCATTAAATGCAAAAAAAAAATCAGGTTTTTTTTACTGCCTTTAAAATTACATGGAAGGTAGACACAATGAGAGGTATTCTGGGAAATGAACTATTGAGGCATTGCCTAAACAACTTACACTAATTAATAAAGTTCATTATAAAATATATATATATATATTTTGTAAAATAAGTAAGCAAATAGATTCAAATGTTCAGTATATGTTAGAAGTATCAGTGTTGTGCCTTTGGATTTCAGTGTCTTGATCATAAAATGATTCATGTTCAAAAACATTGCCATTCAGTAATCTTTTATTGTTCTTTTCCTACAGAAATTCCTCCCAAAATTAAGAAAAAAGGACATCCTGGTCGAGAACAAAAGAAGGTATGTTATAATACAGATTTTTAAGGGGGTAAATTAACACATTGATTAATGATAATTGTTTGCTAAACAATTTATTTTTAGGCCCTACTGAAAGGAAAAGGAAGAGTTTTAATTATTTAGGGTTACTGGTATTAGGAATAGTTTACCTTCATTATATTCAGGGCTTTGGCTCTAAATAATTTCAAATTATTCTAATTATTTCTGCTCTTAGCCATGGTCACAGACAAGAATTTGTTTACTGTTGGAACTAACTAACTAAGTTGGCAGAATAGACAACGGGAATATTATTTATTTTTTTTAAATGCAACATCTGCCATTTAGAAGACCTGCAAATACCTGGGTGTTCACCTTTGTGGCAAAGGAGATTGAGCCACCTTGCTTCATCACTCCTGCCATCTTTTATTTTCATTGATTTTGCTGTAATTTCTTTTACTTGTTATAAGCAGCCTAGAGTTGAAAGTCAGTTGGTGTATTCTTATTAAAGCTGATTGCACAGTCAGTCAGATGTTTAAACTGGATTTGGCATTTTTTTCCATCTATTGAGTCATTCCTGAGGATCCAAGATAGGCAGATGTTGCCGTTTGATGGTGTTAAAGGTATTGTCGCAGCATGCAAGCTGTTCCAAGTAAGGCTGCCTTTTGCAATAGACTGATGGTCATTTGATCAGTGTGAAAAGTGTTGAAGGGTGTTCTATTTGTTTATTATATATACACAATATGCCTTCCCACCTGCTAGTTCTTTAACTGGTGTTGCCCTTTGCTTTCATAAAATTCTTCCCTAGATAACCTAGGATATTCCAATGAATCAGTGTAGCATATTTGCAGAGCCAAGAAGTGTGGCATTATTATTATTATTATTATTATTATTATTATTATTATTATTATTATTTACTTTATTCAGTAAACATGAAACTCAGCTAAACATGAAACTTATTATCATCATCATTATCATTATCATCTATTCACAACAATGTGAAGTCACAATTGCCAGTTCTTTAGCTGGTGTTGGCTTTCCTATACATTGAGTTTTTCCCAAGAACTACTAATATGATTTTCTTGAATAAAAGTAAATAATAATAATAATAATAATAATAATAATAATAATAATAATAATAAT